TCACCAACCTTGCTTTACTTTTACTCAGACAGAACTTACACCATTCTCACGTAAGCAAACGTCGTTTGCGTCACTCATTCATTCTGGATTCAGAGCCCATATCGTTTATCAACTCTGACCCCCCAAGAAATGTGCCGGGGGGTAATAGCATCAAACATACTTTTAGGCTATTTGCTCACATTAGTTATTCAAACACTCGAGAAATACATTTTATGTAAATATCCATTTAAAATTAGGAATGTCCCGATGTATTCCGATTCCGATCATTTGATTTTGGAAAATTTGCCGATTACCGATTTTTTCCGATTCCGATCTTTATGCAATTGCATTAAGAGAGAAAAAAGAAAAAAAAGCATTCAGTTGTCCCTTAGGTTATTTTTTTTATTTAATTGGGATATTCTATCCAACATGGATAATAGCTTCTTTTTTTCACAGCACAGCATTGGATCAGTTTCAGTTGTGCAGCATTGGATCAAACAACTAAATAAAGCTTTCAGTACTCGTTAGCTTACTGCTACAATTAGACACTGCGCCCACTCTGTTGCCAGATTTGAGAGAAATAAGCAACCAGGTCTATGAAAACAAGCCCCAAAGAAGCAACACATACATGATGTTGTGTAATTTGAAACCAAAACTAAGGCCTCAGGATGACTTTAAGACTTGAATATGGTCATTTTTGTTTTGTAATATTGAATACAAAATAAAAAAAAAGTATTTATTAAAAAAATAAAAAATCCCGATCCCCGATTTTTTTCTCCCGATTCCGATCTTTTGAAAATCACGTGATCGGCTCAGATCCCCGATCACGTGATCGGATCGGGACATCTCTAATTAAAATAGTTATTATTATTGTGCTAAAATAAATCCAGTTGGTCGTGTCATCATTCAAATCTGGGTCATTTGATTGAAAATAACAACGTTAAAATGACTTCTTTAAGTACTGGAGCAGCTAAAATGTTTTAGTCAGAAGTTTAGGTGCCTGTGAAGAATTCAGTATGATTCTCCTGACCTTTGACCCGTTTTGTTGTTTGTGTGTAGAGAGCGGTGATGATGTCTCTTGGTCAGATATGAGAGATCTGCTCCAGCAGCTTCTAGACGTTCACTACAGCCTCCTCCGATACCTCTGCCACTTCCTCACCATTGTGGAGTCCAAGCACGAAGAAAACCGCATGACCGCCCACAACCTCGCTACTGTGTTTGGACCCAGTGTCTTCCAGTGAGTTGTACCTTCTTTTTTTTTGTTAGACGTCATCAAGCTAATAAAATAAACACACATGGGCAAATATCACCATCATTCACTAGCTAATTTTATCCCACATTTCTTTCATTTTAATTATGGCTTTTTACCTACATTGATTGATTTGAAATCCTCTTAGTGGGAACGCAACAAGCTTTAACACAACATTGACATATATTCAATGATATAATAATTATATGGTGAGCATGTGAGCAAATGGTTGCCAGAAACACATCCAGCCAATACGGGCAACATTAGCGCTCATTCAGAGTCGTATTTCTGCTGACCTGATGAACTTAAGTCCAATATTCACTCTTATTTTTAGCTCTGTTTTGGTCCCTTCAAACTCCTGATGGAAGTTCCTGAGTCATTACTCCCTTAATATTCATTATCTCGTTGCTAACTGTGCCTTTAGTTGCTGCTGGGCATGTGGAGGGCGGTCAGTTTGACATAGCGAGAACTGTGACCTTTGCAATACATGATTGTTGCAATCTTTAAATAACAGAGTTATTAGTAAGGGAGTAAGTCTGGAAAATAACACGCATACTCCTGGATCTAAAGCTGATATCCAATCATCTCTCCCTTTTTCTGTTGAGTGAGTCAGATATTAAACATTGGTTGCATATGTCAGAGCAGTAGCATCGGTGGAATGATTTCACTCTTATAACATGCAGTACATGAGGAGTTAATTTATGAATTTCAAGTCATGTCCAAACCACATACATTTCAGCTTTTCTGTTATTTCTTTGAAAATTGAAGACAAAACAATTGAAATGCCCTCCAATATTTGTGGAACATCTACAAAGGTTAATCAAAACAAAATAAAAGCTGTAATTTCTTTCTGACTCTGTCAAAGTATTCGGCCAGCAGGTGGTGCTGTAATTTATTTAGTGTAGATAACATCATCAGCACATCAATCATCAGTCATGAGAGTAATAAACTGCTCGGATACTAACACAAGATGACATGCTCATAAATGTCTCATCTACATGTTTCTTTACATTGTGTAGACAGCAGTCTATAAACTATCCAGGTTCTGAAGTCTGACATTATAATAGGCAAAGGTCACATGGTCAATAACACTGATTTACTCTAGTTAATGATGTAAATTATGACATACAGTGTTTCCCACAGAATTTCCCGGCAAGAAAAGCCAAAGGCCCCTTAACCTATTCGGGTGGCCCACACATCCACGGGAAATTCTGTGGGAAACACTGTATGTCATAATTTACATCATTAACTANGAAAGGAACGTTTGGGGCTCTCTGCTGGAAATGCTACCTCCGCGACCCGACCACGGATAAGCGGGAGAAGATGGATGGATGGTCAACTCCCCTGAAATTAAAGCTCTCCAGCACCTGGTTCATGTTAGGACTAGGGATGTACTCACCATGGCCTGCAGGTCGACCTGGGGGTTCCAGTCCGAGTCGTACAGGATGACCACATCAGCTGTAGCCAGGTTGATACCCAGTCCTCCAGCTCTGGTGCTCAACATGAAGATAAACTTGGAGCTGTTGGGCTCATTGTATGCGTTGATAGAGATCTGAAAAACAAAGTTACATGAAGATTATGTTTTGACTTGACTCTTGTTAGAGGACAAACGATGGGTAATATGTTGAGGTAGTCAGTTATTTGGCGTCTTGTTATATGAGACCCGCACCTGTCTCTCCTCGTGCGGCGTCTGGCCATCCAGGCGGCAGTAGCCATAGTTCTTCCACATGCAGTAATCCTCCAAGATGTCCAGCACCCGGGTCATCTGACTGAAGATGAGGATACGAGAGCCTGGACGGAAGAGACAGTATACTCTGTCAGAGGAATGGATTAAAACAAAGACAGAAAGAAACAGTCCATGCAGTCCTTCCTTTGAGACAGCACTTAAAACTAGTTATTAAACTACTCTATGCATTCAATTTCTTTCTGTTTTTATTCTGACAAAAGCTATGTTTGATTGCAATTGGGTAACAAACTGAGTGGGGCAAAATGTACAAGATATTTGATTGCACAACAGAAGCAAAGAGTAGAAACGAGAGGGTAGATACAGTTCCTGTAGTGGAATATTTTTAGATGTTTGTACTTTGGTTCTTTTACTCGAGTAAAAGTATCAAAGTCCGTCTTTCACCACTTATGAATGAAACACAACGATGTGTTCGATAGCATCTTAGTATCCTACATTTTCAAGATTCTGTAATAAAGAAATACTACGTCTTCCGGCACATTCACAACATGACTCTCTACACACCCTGCTGCTTCATCTTGGGTAGCAGCTTGTCCAGCACCACCATCTTGCCGCTGTTCACCACCAGATGGCTGTCGGTGGTGTACGGGGGTCCGGGCTCGGCCCCGTCAAACAGGTACGGGTGGTTGCAGCATTTCCTCAGCTGCATGAGAACGTTCAGCAGACGCATCTTGTCCATCTTACCCGCTGAGTTCAGAATGTCGATGTCCTTCATCAGGATCTTTGTGTACCTGATGGCGTATCATGACGGGAGGTCATATTACATACAGGTGTACAACAATTTAATGTGAGTACACAGTTTAGTTCAAGCTGTAGGGATCAATTAAAGCTCAACTGCTTACCACTCTCGCTGCATCTTACTCAGGCCCACGTACATCTTGATCTCTTTTTTCGGAAGCAGACTTTTCTCTACGTCCGCTTTGATACGACGGAGCAAGAAGGGACGCAGCACCTACACACACAACATTCAATCGAAGACACGTCAAAAGAGTGCTTTGACTTTGATGAGAGTAACACCTTACATTTGACAAAGTAGTTGGAAGTTCAAAACTTACAGTGTGAAGACGTTCCACCAACTTGGTATCACCCAAGCAGTTGTTTGTGTCGAACCAGGAATCAAAGTCCTATGGGGAAAAATAAACATTAGTACCAGAAAACAAAGCACTTTGATTCTAAATAACAAAATCGGTACAATTAGGGACTCCAGCTTGAAAGCAGGTTTATCGTAGGGCTGTGCAATTAGTCGTATTTTAATCTCGATTTTGGCTAGCAACGATTACGAAAACAACGTAATCGAAATAATAAAAAAAAAATGTTAATTGTATTTTCAGTTGAATTATACTTAAAGTTCAGGTTAATCAACTGTTAAAAACATACTTTTTATTTTTTCAAATGATTGATGTTTTCAAAGTAAATGGATAATCGTTTTTAATAATCGTGATATCAATTGTTGACCAAAATAATCGTGATATGATTTTTGCCATAATCGCACAGCCCTAGTTTATCGTATCGTCTAAATCTCCTGATATTGCGCATTTCTAGGCAGTCTTTACCTCTGATGAGTTAAAGACGTCGGGCAGCAGGAAGTTGAGCAGAGCCCACAGCTCGTGGAGGTTGTTCTGCAGGGGGGTTCCGGTCAGCAGCAAACGATTGGTGGTCTTAAATTCTCGCACGATCTCTGACAGCTATAGGAAATAAATGGCTTCATTAGGAAAAACTGAGAAACACAAGAGTGGTTCTGAAATATGAACATATATATTTTGTTTCAGGGATGTGTCTGACCTTTGATTTCTCATTCTTGATTCTGTGGGCTTCGTCAATGACCAGGTATCTCCAGTTGAACTTCTTGAACACTGCCTTTTCAATGATGAGCATCTCGTAGGATGTGACGCACACATCCCATTCTCCGGGCAGCAGCACATCTCTGACCAGGGCATTCTAGATTGATGAAAAACATTTGATGTTTTTGAGTCTGGTTTATTTACCTTAGAAAAAGTTATTTTTCTTTAGTAAAGCTAAAGTTCTTCTGCATGCCGTTTTCAAATGATCAATTCCTTCCTCACATACAGTATAATCCATTCTTTGGATACACACTTGATATGTAACCTACATGAGTCCAATTGACCAAAACAGTTTCTCATTGCAAAACAAGCACATTAAAGTCAAATCTATATCCAGCTATTCCAGTTACAATCATAACACTGTGAGGCAGCGTACCCTCTGCTCTCTGCTTCCGATCAGGCAGACGGCGCGCAGCGAAGGCACCCATCTCTTGAACTCATTCATCCAGTTGTAGAGGGTGGACTTGGGCACTAGCACCATGTGGGGACCAGGGATGTTCCTGTAATGCTTCATGTAACCCAGCAGAGAAATGGTCTGCAGAGTCTTCCCCAAACCCTGAAAAACAGCACAGTGTGTGAGATAAACAGCAGTATGTGTGAATTCAACAATACAATGTGTGTCACTCCCCTTTAAAAGAACAGGTTACAGTTTTAAAGTACTGACCATTTCATCAGCGAGGATGCCGTTGATGCCGTTCTCATACAAAGATATGAGCCAGTTCAGACCCCGGACCTGATAGTCTCTCATTTTCCCTTGTTTGACATCTAAATGAGAAACAAGAAAACATCGTCATCACTTCTGCTCATGATTTTTGCTATATACCTTTCAAGCCTCAATAGAGAAGTAGAACATTGCTTACAGGAGGGGGAGTCATCAAAGCGAACGCAGACGTTAGTAGTTTTGGTGCTCTCGCTCAGAAGCTCTTCGTCCTCCTCTTGCTCTGTGCGGCGGTGTCGGTTGCTGTTTGAGCACAGAAATCAAATATTAGTTTTCATGATCGCAATGACAGTATTTATGAAATAAATAAATTGTGTTCAATTACTCACTCTCCGGCAGACAGCAGATTCTGTTTTTCATCGTTCTTCATGCGAGGACGCCCTGGCTTCATCTTCAGCGGGGAGGTGGGGGTCTTCTGTGCGGCTGGTTGGATGAAATGAGCAAACAACTCTGTTTGCTTGAGCAGGTACTCAAATCTGTTGGTCCGGTCTGTGAGCTGCACACATGGAAAAAAAGTATTGTTAGCTTATATATCCAAGATCCGAGTGGTGAGATTTTAAAGCTATGGTTAGATACTTACCACTTTCTCCTCATACCCCAGACCAGTTTCTTTAGGTTTGGTAGAGGAAGTGGCATCTTGTACATCAGCCCCAGCCTCTGAGGCCGACTCTTTCCCTTCATCTGAAGACTCTTCCTTCTCCTGAGTGAAAAAAAAAAATGGTTGTTCAGTTGCTTTCTTCAGATTTAACAACAAACAGGAACAGATTTGACAAACCACCAGCTCTGTTCTCGGATGCTCTCTGGAACACACAGCATATGATGGAAGATCTCCTGTTACGGATAACAGCTCCCAAACAAGCTGCCTGTCCTCTATTAAGCAGGCGTTGCTTTGTTTTTAATGCATTTTATTCATAATGTATTGCTTGTTTCTTAAGTGTCATTACGTTTTTTTCAAATACTTCACCCTGTAAGCATGTATATAATCCTTGCCTGTTCATTGTTTGACTATAATGGGTGCTCATCACGTATGGTAGTTATTTTTCTACTGTTTCCTGTACTTAAACTGCTGTGACACTTTCTGTGTACGTTTATTTAAGTAAAACGGCGGAACTTGTTCTTCTCTCTACATACACGTCTGAAAACATGTTGTGTTACTCAGTTTGGTATGGGGTCCATTGCTACTTTGTCACGTTTTTTGTCTTTACTTGTAAATACTCATTCCTCTTTTGTGTGTATCCGTGACACTACACGTGCACTTGTCCTGTAATTGCTATTTAACTTAACAAACATTAATAAATAAATACAAAAGCCCTTTACTTGTAATGGGTTTAATCAACAAAAAGTGGAGTGAAAAGCATGTTGCAGGCACGCAGCACCCCTCGCTTACAGTAGCCATCGATGCTCTGTTCCACTGAAAACAAAGGCTCAGACGGGACAGCTGGGCAGAGGGCTGCTCGCTGCGTTCACGAGGTTTCCACAAGCCGCAATAATAGTCACAAAGGACTCGCTGGGTGACTGTGGTCACAAACCGTAAACAGAAAGTACTTTGGGACTTTCATAGGGATGATAGATGGGTCGATAGCGGGGCTAAGCTAGCTGCCTTAGCGCTTGTGAAACAGCCTGGCCCTGTTGCTGCTATGTAGCTTCAGTCCCGGGTGAATGGGACAGAGCTGTTGTTGTCGTGAGCTAACTTTAGCTCCGCCGCGGTTAGCTAACATAACTAGTTAGCTCAAAAAGCCCGCATTAACATTGACTAAGTAAACGTTTATCAAGACCGAATTGAAGGAACGAGTAGGTTTTTGAGTTTGGTACATATGTGGTAGATCTAGGGGAAATTAAGTCGATGATGAGAGGAGACGATGCCCATTTTTTAAACATCTTACCTCTGCTGGTTCGGGTTTTGGAACTTCAGTCGGTTCTTCCCGCTGTTCCACGCAGCTTAGGAGTTCGGACATTTTTGTCAAATTTCCCTCTACGATTCAGATGTATCGTCCGTTATTTGGTGCCTTGTGTGTTCCCGTATAATATCCGTTTAGGATTTCCCGAACTTTCTGCGGGTAAATAAGAACAATTATGCTGTCTATAATGAAAGACACATCGGTTGGTCATAGGCAGCACGTTCCCGCTAGCAAGTTGTCTCGGGCACCCGCGTTATTCCCGCGCCAGTTACCCAGTGTGTGCACTCTATCGCGATACTTGGTTAAGCTGCCTTTAACGGTGGTTGGAAATGATTTAGTTTTCAGTAGATTTCTTTATCAATATGTGGTAACGTAAGATAATAATAATAATAATAATAATACATATCATGATTATAATAAAAAGCAAATTAATTGTTCATTTTTGCACGTTTCAAAGCTAAGATTAAAGTGAGATTTTAAAGTTCTACAAAATTAGCTACATATGAGACAGAAGTTAAATAAAACAATATCATTATTGTTAAGTTAACATGTCTTCAAGAAGTAGTCCTATAAAGGCGAGATGGAGGAGGGGTACTTGAATGCAGCACGTCAACCACACAGGAGCAAACATATTTATTCAAATGTCACCATTCTTTATATCTTTCTTTTTTTTAACTGGGTACCATAGTTTGAATTACTCAACACGTAACATATGCGTCACAGGCAATATTAAGACGAAAATTGCTTCACTCATGGGTCCTACCAACTTCTCTGTCCATAGGAATGACGTCGGTGAAAGGGTAATCAGCTGATTCTGAGCGATCAAATGAACCAAAATAAAACGGTTTTACCTGTTAAATCTCGGTTATCATCTACCGACCATTAAGGATTTTCTCATCGGACATCGTTGGCATGCTTTATTTGGGTAAGCACACATCGTAAAGCTTCTGAATGGCGAGAATACATGACGGTATTTATGCTAAGTCAGAGGGACCTAACGTTACTCAGCTAACGTATCACAGGCCTGTTTGGTTGCTTTGTTCTTGTTATCATGTTGAATGATGTTTGTAACAACTGTTGCCATGGAGCGGCAGAACAGGCAACAACTGTTTTACATTTTTAATAATATTCATGTTTAGGTTTTAACTGCCAGGAAATCAGAGTAACCTTTAACGTTAGCCGATACAGCTAGCCTTAGCATGCTAGCCGCCTGTACGGAGCACAGATAGCCGTGACAAGAAAAAACACAAGGCGTTAATGTTTAAAACAATCTCAAATTTAAAGACTTGCTTATCTCAAAATAATCGCGTTGTAAAAAGAAATAATGACATACTATCGCCAACATTATGAGATATTTTGTGAAAAGTCATGTTGTTGTTATTTTCTCTACCGGCTTGTAAAGCGTATTTGAGCTCTAGGAAAAGCGCCCTATAAAAGTGTAATCTTTTGAGAAAATGTCTCATTATTTATGTGAAATTAAGACATTATGTTGCTATTCTAAGTAATTGTTTCTTACTTCTCTCTTATTTTTATTTTTTAAATCATTGTAGATTAGTCTTAGTTGTGTACTGTTGTTGGTTTACTGACTATTGCTTCACTTTGACATCTGGAAATAAATGGTTTCTTATTAGTTAGTAGGATTTCCCATTATTTCTGATTTTGTTTATGTATTTATTTTGTAAGTTCTCTAACAAGTTCCTAATTAATATCTATTTGTCAAATGTTGTTGTGTATGAGCATTACATTTAAACAATTTCTTCCTGTCTTTGGCACAGCATATTCTTTCACAAAATAAATACATCTAAATATTGTGTTTACATTTTGTGATACTTTAAAAGCCCAATAGTCAATTTGTTTAAGCACCTTTTTTTGCCTCAGTAGCCATATGACAGTGAAGTCTATGAGCTCTACATTCCAGTTGCAGCACAATAACGCTGAGCAGACATTGTCTACCTTTGAATGCTCACAGTCTGTGCACTCGATGAATGCAGACAATGTGTGGAGTCTGGTAAAAAAAAAGAAGACCTGTTGCTCCCATTGATTCCCCCCCCCCCCACTTCAGACAGTTTGACATATCATTATAGGAATAGCATGTGTTACTAACAACCACAATAACAACTCTGTTCTATTCCTATACCCTTGTATGCTGTGAAAGTGAGCCATATTACACCATGCCCGAACCCTGATCATAAAAAGGCCTGAATTATTTTCGTTTTCTGTCCTCTTTTTTCCTACTGTTACATTTCAAAAATATCCTTTTGTGAAAAAAGCATATCAAAGATTTGATTAGACTATTTTGCTATGGGAAAAAAGTGAACGAAGTGTCTAATTATTTCCTTTTGCCTTGGACAGACCGTCATCATGGACAAGATTTTGGAGGGCCTTGTGAGCTCCGATCACTCTGTTCCAGTGAAGAGGGCCATAGTGAAGAAGGTAGTGGAAGCAGCAGAGAAAGAGGTGACAGAGGAGCAGTGTCATGCGTTGTTTACTCTCACCACCCGCCTCATCCTGCTTGGTGAAGATGCATTTCAGAGGCAGATCGGCATCCAGGTTTTGGAAGCCTACGCGCGTTACCACCGGCCAGAGTTTGAGCATTTCTTCACTAAAGACTTTGCACTCACTCTTCTCCAGCAGGGCTATGCCCACCTGGACCGCAAAGATCCAGCCGTAATAGACTACATTCACTGCTGCCTGCGGCTGCTCATCAGCTGCCCCTCGGTGCTCGAGATCTTCGGCGTGATTCAGGTGGAGGTTCTGAGGATGGTGTGTGAACGTCCTGAGCCTGCTCTTTGCGCCCACCTGAGCTGTTTGCTGTCGGACTTTGTGCAGTGCCTCCCGAGGGATAAGTCGGGCGTTTTGTTCTGCCAGCAGCTGGTGAGGACCATCAGCTACTTCCACTGCTTTGCCAGCCAAGAGCAGGAGCTGAGAGAGTATGTGGGTCAGGTGACTAAGGTCAGCACACTGCTGCAAAACATCTGGAAGGCAGATCCAGCCACACTGCTTCCCTCTCTGCAAGAAGTGTTTGCTATTATCTCTTCCACAGGTGAGTGTCCTTCCCACCTTCCTTCCTTCCTTCCTTCCAAAATGGTTTAATACATGGGGTTTCAGGTTCGAGGAATATAATATAGTAAATGTTTTTCAAACTTGGGCTAATACTACCTTACTTAATCCTTAAGGTACGCTTTGGGACACCTGTAATTATAGGTCCTAAAGAAGCTTAAGATATGAACACCTTTAGAATGTATTCATAGATTTATAAATGTCTGCCTACCCGTAATACAAAAAAAAGTGCTTCCATTTGGCAACAAGGACCCATGACTTATACCTCTGCCTCCATAAGTCTTAGCATTAATGCCGGGGTGTTATTAGCACATGACTAAGCACACGGGGACAATGACCTTGTTTCATTTGAATTTTTTCGAGACCCTGCCAATAGCCGACTCTGATCCCTTGGCTTAGTAATATAATTTGTATAGTTTGGATGTTCATTCTTCCATATTCAGTGCTACTGGCACCCTGATAACATTTGTTTTAATGTGTAGGTAGTGGCCTCATTTTACACACTTGTCATTGCCTGAAGCACTTACCTTCAAATGACTGATTCAAGAAGAGCATTTTCTCCAAGGGTAAATACTGAAAAGCATTAGTTGTTAGGATGTAGTAGAGTTCAGAATATTTAAAGCTGCAGTTCTGTTGTTGATGGTACATTTTGAAGGATGTCCTGTGCAGTGTTGCAAGTGATTGAAATGTGGAGCGGCACAAAATAAACAGGAAGCAGCGATTTGTAGATGAATAGCCACACTGACGGCATGCATCAGGGTCACTCTACCTTTCAGTGACAGTTCAGGGTGGGCTGAGCTAATATCTAAAGTGCTGGTGTCAAAACCACAGAGCCACACTGCCCTTCCCAGATATAACAAAAACACTATAGGACACTATACAGATACTACAGTAAACCATAAAAGGAAAACTGTGAAGTGGGATCAATTATATTAATATAAGCTATCCAGATCCAATACATCGTTTCGAGAGGTTTTTTTAGGCCTATTTGCAGCTTTATTATGTACGAAAAATAGGTATTATACACAATACTCATACAACAAATGCCTCTACAGAATGTGAACAAAACACAAAATAAATCTTTAGAAATATAAAAATGAAGCCTGAGTTTGCACTGGTGTCACACTGCACTGATTCTCAAGGGGTCCCTGTCACTGCTCGTCTAGAATTTTCACAATCTGCCATTTTACTAGATAGGTATTTTGGTATCCCCCAACTATCTGTCCACTGATGCAAAAGGAAATGGTTGGGTGTAATATTGTGTTGATTTCTGGCAGACTCCTCCTTTGACCCCTCCATCGCCCTGGCCAGCCTGGTGCAGCACATCCCCGTCCAGATGATCACCGTGCTGATCAAGAGTCTCACCACAGACAACAATGTGAAAGACGCTAGCATGACTAAAGCCCTCTGCAGGTAACCTCTCGCATCCAATCATACAAGATGGACGTCACACTTCTACACGTTATTTACACTCCCCATCTATCTCTCTCTGTAGGATGATCGACTGGCTCTCTTGGCCTCTGGCTCATCATGTGGACACCTGGGTCATCGCTCTACTGAAAGGGCTGGCTGCAGTTCAGAAGTTCACCATCCTCATAGACGTCACTCTGCTCAAAATCGAACTGGTAATTATTGAAAACTCCTCATTTATTATTGATGTGCAAAACAGAAATTGTATGCATCTTTTAAAACTTCACAGATGTTGAATTGCATTATTTATTAACATGAAATGCAGCAGTTATACTTAATGATATTATACCTGGGGCTGGTGACAAACTCCCCAGCTTGTATAAATGTATTCATGACTTTGTTTTCAGGTCTTCAGCCGCCTGTGGTACCCCATTGTGCGGCAGGGGGCGCTTGCTGTGCTCTCCCACATGCTGCTGAGTTTCCAGCACTCTCCCGAGGCCTTCCATTTGGTAATGGATCTCCTGCTTCCTCACAGCCCATTTCCCTCTCATATGGCCACTTTATTGGCTTTCTTATTTTCTTCTCTTCTGGCCTAAATGACTTTGAAGCTGCAGCAACTTCTTTTCCCAGAACCCCAGGCTCGGCAGTGCTCTCCCACTAATGATGTGTGAAGCACTTAAATGCCGGGCAATGGCCCTTGAGTTGGCCAATTTCATTAGTATCTAAAAACATGAACGTTCTCAAAAATATTCATCAAATGACAGCGAACCCTCTGTGGGGTTCCTGATGTGCAACTAACCTCTGGCTGACCGTACTGCAGATCTGTGTGATTACAATTAGTGTCCTTAACATTTTTCATCTTCATCCCTCACTGTTCCAGGTTGTTCCACATGTGGTGCATCTAGTCCAGTCTTTACGGACAGATGGTCTCTCCACCAGCAAAGCGTTCCTCCTGCAGTTCACTGAGCTAATACACTGCATGATGTACCAGTACTCCGGCTTCCCTGACCTCTATGACCACATACTAGAGGCCATCAAGGTAAAAACATACAACAACAAATGGTTTGTTTACATTGCAAACGTTTCCTAAGTGCGCTCTGTAACTATTCATTTAAAATGGTCTTCAAAGGATCTCCCAAAACCAGAGGAAGAGAAGATTAAGCTGGTGTTGAATCAAAGTGCCTGGACGTCCCAGTCCAACTCGTTTGCCTCGGGTCCTCTGAAGCAACTTGGAAAGTCTGAGACTGGGAAGACTGGCCTGGTCAACCTGGGAAACACCTGCTTCATGAACAGTATCATCCAGACCCTCTTCATGGCCACAGAGTAAGCTGCTGACCCACACTTAAATACACACATGCTGCATTTCTTTAAAATTGTATACTGAAACATAAGGCATAAATATGGACCACCTGATTTTAGGTAACCTTCCCTTTATTCTCAGTTTCAGGCGACATGTTTTATCATTACATCTAAATGGTTCGAACACATTGATGAAAAAGCTCCAGCTGCTCTTTGCTTTCCTTGCACACACTCAGGTAAGTGTTGTCCTGTGTAATAGGTAGAGCAGAATATCTTTACTCATGTCAACAACATTGGATGATCCAACCACTCTGTTGTTTGTGTCTGTTTCCTGCAGAGGGCAGCGTTTGCTCCCAAAACCTTCTTGGAAGTATCTCGGCCTCCCTGGTTCAACGCCGGCTCTCAGCAGGACTGTTCTGAGTACCTCCGATTCCTTCTGGACAGGTACGGCTGCGCGCCCAACAGACCAGATGAATCATAACAGGATTGTGTCGATTTTTAAAGTATAACATTATTTTTATTTGTTATACCTCCTTTATCGTTCCCCTTTTGCCAAATGAATAGAATCTGCCAAAATGATGCAATGTTAGGCAAGACAAGTTCATACATAAGCACATTCAACAACAAGGCAATTCAAAGTGTTCATAGTTCAAAAGAAACTGATTATAAAATGTATTTTGCATACATTTAATACAGTGATTTAAAACTATTTAAATACAAAAAAGTATGTAGTAAATATGCTATTTTCCTATGAAGAACACATACAAAGCATTGTGAATGTACAGTGTGCATGTCTGTGGCTTAATGGTCATCATTAATGACTGTAATTTCTTCAGAACCAGTTAGTATATTGTTACCTCAGTGTCCCAAATAAAAATCAACACAGTATTTTCTCCTCTAATGTTGAGTGCCCTGTCTCCTGATCTCAAGGTTACACGAAGAGGAGAAAACGATTCAGGTCCTGGAATCAGTAAAGCCAAAGATGGCCTCTCTTGTTGACACAAACGGCAAAGAGCCAACAGCTCAGAGTTCTCCGGAGGTCGCTGAGGAGTCATCTCTGACTCCAGCAGAAATGAAACCTGAGGACGACGGCAGGACTTTGACAGAAAAGATGTTCAGGGGAAAGCTGATCACAGGGATTCGCTGCATGCAGTGCAACTGCATCTCTGAGAAAGGGGAGCCTTTTACAGACCTCTCCTTGGCCTTCTGTCCTTCTGCCACCTCTCAGGGCAGCCCCCAGCCCGAGGGGCCCTCAGAGGAACCCAAAGGTCTCTGCCAAGGATCCGTCAATGGCGGTAGTGAAATATCTGAGCCTGGCCCGGCCCCAGCCCCAGCCCCAGCTAGCAATATCAATGATGTGCCAGTGGCAAATGAGCCTCCTCTCTCCGTGCCGGACCTGGTGAACTACTTCCTGGCTCCAGAGATCCTGGACGAAGACAATGCCTATTTCTGTGAGAAGTGTAGCTCACTGCAGCGGGCAGAGAGGACCATGAAAGTGGTATCGGCGCCTGAATACTTAATCCTCACCCTGCTGCGATTCTCATACGATGCCAAATGTCACGTCCGGAGGAAGATTCTGGACAATGTCACCATCCCGCCACTCATGAGACTTCCTGTTCATGCCCCTTCAATGCCCACACAATGTTCCTCTTCTTCCTCCTCTCCTCTGCAAGTGGATTCCCCCGAGAGCAGTGAGAATCTGGCCAAGAAGCTCAAACCGTCTCGAAAAGAAGAGGAGGAAGAGGAGAAGGAGAGGATTCACGGAGCAGAGGAGATGAATGGAGATGACGAGATCCTGTCAGTGCCCTATGTCCTCAGCTCAGTGGTGATGCATTCTGGGATATCGTCCGAGAGTGGCCACTACTATTCATATGGGCGCAACATTAATGGAGCAGATGGAACGCAGCACACAGCCAACCACTTAGCCCTAAAAGAGGATTTGGGGAATGGACAGGGCGAGTGTAGCCTCTCCACCTGCTCAGCTCTCCCCATCCCACCTGAACAGAGAGACACCGTATCTAACGGAGGACAGGAGGCCAGGGATTGGCTGCTGTTCAATGATAGCAGAGTGACATTCACATCCTTCCAATCAGTGCAAAACATTACAGACCGCTTCCCCAAGGACACTGCTTATGTGCTCATGTACAGGAAGCAGGAGCTACCGGGGGAGAACATCAACAGGGGGCTGGTGGCAAATGGGATGAGACCGAGTGCTGAGCCTCCCCTGCAGAAAGAATTACTGGATGCTATTATCAAAGACAACAAGCTGTATTTACAGGTACGTGGGGGCGATTAAAAAAAATACTTCTCCCACACACAGGCATTGTTTTGCTAATTTTTAATCTGTTTCTATAAATGATACAAATAAAAGGTAGCCATGTGTGAAGTGATTAGAGCAAATATTTCATCTCCTGCTAAGACGTTCATTGGATGTTTTCCGACTTTACATGCATTTGTCACGTAACATCCTTACCGCTACCCCTCTGAGCATGAGGTTATTATGGAAAAGCGAGAGCTGTACTCTCTCAGGTGGAAAGAAGCTGAGGGAAAAAATACCGTACTTTCACAGATGACTTGAGGCCTACGGAGTATAGGATCTTGACGGAACTTGAAGCCAAATCTGAACTGTCCCGTTATAAGACGTGAGGTGTAATTTCACGAGTCATTGAACTGTGGTGTGTCGAGTTCACTTTTCAGCGTACAAGTGACTAAATCTTAAAAGAAAGTAAATCCCCTCTAGAGGGTGCTGTGATATAGTAAATCAAAAACACAGATTCCCTGTCAGTCACCACACCAATGCAGAGTTAACTCTTTGGAACAGAAGAAGAAGAAGAATGAGGCATACTTTATTATGGGGGACATTCTGTACACACAAACTGTACACATGCACTCATGCACAGAACCTATACACTTAAGGTTTGAAATACACTCATGCATAAAAAGCACTTGTATCAGAGCGGAGAGACTGACATGACACTGTCGGTGCCTTGCTCAAGATGCCTTCACAGTGCCCAGGAGGTGAAACTGGCACCTCTCCAGCTACCAGCACAGACATTTTCTTAATTTGGTTCAGTGACCTGAACCGGTGACCGACTAGTCGATATACGGAGCATGTGAGGTATATATTTAATCCCCTTTTTGAAAATAATTCATTTCCTCCATGCTGTGAATAGGAGCAGGAGCTTAATGCCCGGACCCATGCTCTCCAGGCTCCTTCATCCTCCTCCTCATTCAGGCCCAACGGTTCAGATGACAATAACCCACCGGGGAGCTGTGGCCCATCTGGTGGAGGTGGAGGGGGAGGGGGCTTCAACACCATCAGTAGACTGGTCTTCTGAAAGAAAAAACCTGCTGGAAAACCCAAATGAACTGGCACTAAGAGAGTCCTGAACTGTCATACCACAGATGTATGTGCATATAACCTGATGACCTGAGCACTGACATGACCTAATCACTCTCACACACACACACACACACACACACACACTCTCTCTCTCTCTCTCTCTCTCTCTCTCTCTCTCTCTCTCTCTCTCTCTCTCTCTCTCTCTCTCTCTCTCTCTCTCTCTCTCTCTCTCTCACACACACACACACACATCCGCTCTGATTCTGATCCTAGATTTGATCTCAATGTTTCAGTCACTATTTGATTGATTTTCATTCTTGGTTTTTAGCTAAACAATGTTTATTTTCATTAATACTCCAGATTAAAAAAACTTACAAAAGCCTTGTTTGTGCAAATGTGTACTATCACTTTAATTAGATAATGATGATAATAACAATCTGCACAAATTATTAAGAATTTGAAACAAGTTGAGACTAGAACCGGCTCATATTGTCGGCGTTAACTGAGTGTTTATAACATACCTCTCACACACAAACACACATACACACATACACACTCCCATCAACATATGCAAATACATGCATGTGCGGTGCACGGTACAGAAGAAAGCACTCAACTGTAAAATAAGCAAGACTTTTCTGATTTGTCACAGTTCTGAATATACAGCTAACAACCTTTGTGTATTTCTGATTTGCATGCAGCTTTTCTTTTGAGCTGTAGAGTTTGATTTTTATGATATTTGAATATTTTGATGTGGGCTTTGCTGTGTTTTACAGGTTTCATATCACATGCAATAAATGTATATATGACTTAAAATATCATTCTGAATTATCATGGAATACAAAACTATATGTGGAAAGTGTAATACTGTGTTTGGGTAATCTGAAAGATAAAGGCATTTTCAATAAGAATATGTATTCCTCCTGTCCTCCCACTAATAGGTAGTGTGGTCTCATGAGAAGCAGCGTGTTCAGTTTACAAGTAACTGTTAAACAGCAACATAGGGAGACTTTAGTGTTCATGCTGACTTTATGTGCCTTTTGATAATGTGTATTTTTGAAGAGGAATTGTCAGGATACACACCTCAGCTGTACCCTGTTAATATTCATACTGGATCCACCTGTTCCTACAGTAAACAAAACAGTTTGTTATTTGTTGTGTTTTCCAGGTTATGTAAGATAAAGTTATTTAAGATGTTTTTTCCGCCAAAGACAGCAGATGTTGGGGACGAAACAATAAATGTCATTGCTAATACAAGCATTAATTGTTAAAAGATAATAAATGAAAAATGTAAAAGTCAATTAATAAATATGTAATTGAACGAAGACAAGACGAAGAAGCAGTCGGTTTCTGGAGACCTCACAGATTTGAAGTATGAAAGCGACTTTGTTGATTAAACAAATACAGAACTGTACGTTGTTGCATAATTCATAAAAACAAGCACATGTGTAATCTTTTTTGCTTTAATTGCAATACTATTTCTGCAAAAATGGAAGTGAGTATAAAAGCAGTCACTTAAAAAGGAAATGGGAAATGACGTGCATAATCTACAATTCCCCTGGGCAACGGACGGACGAAAGTTGTAATGAAGCAATAGCCAATTATTTGCAAAGGCGCCATTTATGTCTAATAAGCAATTGATAGGGTACAAACACAGAAGTGGCACTAAAGCTTTCAACGGGCACTCAATGATTCTCAATTATTAATCAACCAAACCATTACATGTTTGTTGAACTGTTAACTCTTGGGATTGGTATTATATATTCTCTTTATACGTTATGTCATAATAGAGTTTTTGAATATTGAAAAATGTGACAGATTTTTATTGTTTCCAAATAGTGACACCCTCAGCATCCTATCAGGGTCGCTACAGCATGTATATGTATATAGTATAATAATGTCTGGTCTGATCATCAAGTGTGGCGAAAAATGTGTGATGCACTTAGATTCACATTCCTCCATTGAACCTAGATGCTGTTGTTGACACACACTAAAGCTGTATGCACCTGTACATCCCAAACTATGATGAACGGACACATGCACAGCTTCATACAGATTTTATAAAACATGCTGCATTGCATTACATTACATGTCACTTGTTAGACGCTTTTATCCAAAGAGACTTACATACTTAATACTGTGGACAATCCCCACAGGAGCAATTTGGGGTGAAGTGTCTTGCCCAGGGACACAACGACATGCTGACTGCAGTGGGGTTGGACCCTGTGACCCCCCTGTTCGAAAAACAACGCACAACCCACTGCGCGATACGCCTCCACGCCCTGCATCAAGGCACTAAAGATATTTGGTGTTGTAACACTTAGTGCTACATTTCTGCTAAATCTTTAAACATAATTCATTAACTGAAATGGTGTGTGGTGTCTACAGCCTTTAATTGCTCCCTGTTTCTTCATCAATACCGAGGCTGTTGAAAGAGTTAATGTGCCTGTGCAATGGTAAAGTCATTAATCATGGACAGGGGACATCCTTTGGGGGAAGTGTTTACCATTACAATGGCATTCCAATAAGATTCCTCAGATACCATTCTGAGTCTTTTGGGATCATGTCTTTGTTCGTGGATTAGACTAGTTTGTATGCTGTGCCGAATCCACTATATTGATCAGATATGGTAAACCAGTTCAATATTACACACCTTCAAAAAACAGTTTGGTATGGACAGTAGACAATACAACTACTCATCTATGTTTCTTAGAATTCAGTTCAAACCAAACTAAATCAAATGCATATATCTCAAGTATAAGTTTGTAGTTTAAATGAAAGTTCATCAAGAAAAAAGAATATCGGTGTATTGAACTGAAAACAATGATATGTACAACAATAAAAAGGAACTTCTAATGAAAGATACATGTCAGAATAGTAACCACAACAATAGCTAAATAAGAGTCTATCTATCTACCTGCTATTCTACATGACATGCTTTTTATGGCGAATTGTATATGGGGAATAAACATGCATGATGGATAGTGTAGTTTACACGTGCAAGGCATTCTTGGGACCTTTAGTTCACGCATGAGGAGGGAACTTCATTTGTATTTACAGCAATAGTCTGAGCCTACTTTTACATGCACATGGCTCCATAACATCACGTTTCAACTACAAAACCGCATTACAGTCCTTTGTTGTTCTTTGGGACGAGACATAAAGGATTGTTGGACTACATGTCCCATGGTTGAAGCTCCACAGTTTCGCCAGCACGCTGCCGCCTCCCCATTTCGCCCTCGGTAGTAGGAAAAAAGCGAGTAGGGCTACACAAATGTGACATCTGGTAGGAACTTTCAAAATAAATATCCTAAATGACCGACACTAGGTTGAAGCTACAATATAAAGGAATGTGGTAATTGTCGTTGTTAATATGAATATTACTTTGAAGAAAATGTAATCAACACGTGAGTGAATACACCTGTTTTCTTTATCGCTTTTCCTTGTTAGCATAACACGTAGTCTACTGCTAATTATCACCAAAGATATTAAATACGTTGCCTGACTCAAAACATTAGTTTTACTTTATTAATGCATTCATTTGTTTATTTACTCCCCCCTTAATTGTTATTATTTATGACTGTGCAGTTTTTTTTGTGTCATTTGTTTTGTGCCCGCTGTAATGTTTTGATCTTGTCAATCGTTTTCGTATTGATTTTTTTTTTACGATGACCGATAACAACAACGTCAGTTTAATCCCTTAACATCAGCAAGATAGATAATATTTGATGACCATTTCAAATACACTTAAGACTCACAACCTTTACTTTGAAAGAATTCCACAACATCCGGTGTGTGGCAGTTGTTAGAACGGTTAGCTTGACGCCGCCATGTTCCAGAGGAGGGTGAGTTTAGGGAAAGACGGAGCCACCCTGTCAATCACAATTAAGGAACCATGGGAGTAAACTGGTAAGGAAGCTCGGCGCAACCACTGTGTTTACTTTACGGTATTTTTTTTTTTATTTGCGCAAAAACCGACAACTATGCACCGGCTCACTGTGGGACATTTACCTCTGATCTCGCCAACTGGGAACCGCTACACTTTGACGGGAATTAGCATGAGGCCATACATATAACAACAAAAACTTAGCGACTTTCAGTTGCTTGCGCCTATTTTTTTGCCCCCACAGCGTTCCAGTTTCAACAGAATACACAAGTCACCATTGGTATTTGTACAAAAGGCGGTGCCGCAGAGGTTTATATGAACTCCAAGCTCAGGATATACCCGTTTATTTGACTACAAACCGTGGAAAATCTGGTCTGTGCATTTCAGAGAACTACTGCCTTGTCGGTGAGTCGACTTTCGAGGAAGGACTGACGGTATTTGTCGCTCTCAAACACACAAATGCTACACTTTAACTTTCTGTTTTCCAACTTTACAGTTTGGGCTTTGTGTCAACGTTTTTTCCTTTTCAGGTAGGCTTACAAGAAAGAAGACACTCCCAAAAACAAACGAAGCCCAACAGCAGGCTCCGCTCCAGGCAGAGCAAGAAAGGAGCAGATATGAGTGGGGGAGATGTGGTGTGTTCAGGGTGGCTGAGAAAGTCTCCTCCTGAAAAAAAGTTGAGACGTTACGTAAGTGCACTTTATATCTCATCTATTACATTGTAGTAACTTAACTCCCTACACAAAACGCCAGCAATTCCCTGGACACTTTTCATGTGCACGGTTGGGCGCAGTGACATGTTTAGGCCTTATCTCATACTCTAACAATACCATTTTCTTTTATGACTCCTTGAGGCTCAATTTGCTTTTACGTCCTTTACAGTAACGTAAGAATGACTTTACCATGAGGCACCTTATTTTCAGTTGTGTTTTGCTCAAGGACACTGTTTCACTGATGTTGTTATGGGTCAAACATGACCTCCTTAATGGCTAGTGCATGCCAATACACAACGATCCAATCTCACAGCATTACCTTTGAGGATTGGATTGTCTTGGACCAATAACACAATATATTGTTTACTGTTGGAAGAAATGCTTGTGCAGTCACAGCCAGCTCTTTTAGTGTCAAAGTTGGTAGATTGTCACGCCACGGGTTAAATCATTCACAAAACAACTGCGGAATACATCAAAGGATGACCCCATTCCTGCCAACAGTGTTTGTAAAAAGTTGTCAGATGTGCATAATTAACTTGTTTGTC